ATGGGTAATCCAGCAGGTAAAGTGCTCATGGGCTGCCCAGCCTGCCATATCTCTCTTTTTTCATGCCTTGCAGTGGTGCCAGATTAGTGTTCCTCTTCAGCCAAATCAAGCAAACCTGACTTTTGTTGTGACTTTTAAAGGTTTTCTACCTCCGTTGCATCCCATGTCAAACAGCGGAGATTTGTAAATTATGATTTATTACCTCAAAACTACTTTAGGAACTCCTTTGTATTTCACAAGAGTGAAAACATCTAATAATCTGTAAAGAAAAGATGAATGAAAATGATCTCTGTAGACTTTAACCCTTACTGTTTGAGTAAGCAGGTTGAAAACACATGGTTTACGGGAAAAGTAGTCACATATCTCCCTCTCTCTCTTTCTTCTGCCATAGCCAAAGCAAACAAGTTTACCTTTTTTGATGACTTTTAGACTCTTGTTCTCTTATATGCAATTGTTAACCACATGCACTTTACCACAAGAAAAATTAATGACTGCATTAACAGTTTAGTCAAACGGCTACTGACATCTGCATGTTTGTTATGGATAGAGTACATCTAATAATCTGGTAAATTGTTTTTAGATTTTATCTTCAAATGTGCATATATTATAAAATAGATTTAAATTGTATGATTCATTTAATAGCAGTCATTGGTGAATGTCAACGCTTTGTAACAATCTTATAATGTGTATTTAGTAAATTAACTAAATTATTCCAGCAAAACGATTGATTTTTATCTTTTTCTGTTTTCTACTGAAACACTGATTCAGGCTGCTGTGGGCATGTATGAATGTGTGCGAGTGTGAGCCGGCCATGTTTGGGGAGGTGTCTTCTCCACAGTACCCTCAACCCTATCCAGCAAATCTCCAGAAACAATGGGACCTGGAGGTGCCACAAGGCTACCAGCTCCAGCTGACATTCAATCACCTGGACATTGAGTCCTCTCCAGACTGTTACTACGATTCTGTCACTGTTAGTGATGCTTCATCTTAGAACTTGTATCATGTGGATGTCTTCATACACAATGCTCAAGTGCTGTGACCTCATTTGAGTTGCACAATCCATACCTCGTACTGTGTTGTATATTGTGCTTTGTTGGGGAATAACGGCAAAAAAGTCATACTTCATGCAGTACATATAAATTAGGTTTGAAATGTCATTGTGACTACTTTCATTTGGCTTTATAAGACATTTATTTAGCAAGGTCTATGTATTTTGTAATACATCAGCACGTGTGATTTTTTTTTACGTGCAGATTGTGTCTTATAAGAAGGTTCTGGGGAAGTTTTGTGGACGGAATTCCACAGACAGGTTTTACTCAGTTGACAAGCCCATCTTGGCTACTGGTAACCATCTTCAGCAGGTTTTTCTAATGAATGACTCAAATCACGAGTCACACTTGGGATTCACTGCATTCTTCCAGGCTGTTGGTGAGTCATGTTTGAAGCATATTACAAACAAAACAGTGTTGTAGTATGTTTACATCTCCTAATATTCTATAAGGATGTAAAACAGATCTCTTTTACACAGCAGTTCTAGAATTTGATTGGCTTTGAGTGGTGTTCCAAGAGTGTAGTGTATCAATCCACTTGCCTGTGTTTGTGCATTCCATACAGACCTGTTTGTGTATTAAAAGTGGGGATTTTCCAGTGATTGTAGCTGTTTTTCCATCAATTTTTGGGATACAAAAAACACTGAACAGAAATGCTAAGGCACGCAGTTATGATCTTTTTTT